GGAAAAAACCCCAAAAAAAAAAAAAAAAAAAAAAAAAAAAAAAAGAAAGAAAGAAAGAAAAAATCTCGGGACCAGGACCACCAGGTGGTGTGGTGGTTAAGACACCTGAACACTCTCACATGGCTGACCAGGGTTTAAGTCCTGAATCTGGTGGCTTGCTTTCTCACTTCCTCTATCTTGCTCTCACCCTCTGTCTCTCTCTGGTCAAATTTTAAAAATCAATGAATTAATAAATAAAATAAAATAAATAATTATTAAAAAAATCTCAGGACCAACAGTTGGCATAATAGCTATGTCACTGGACTTCCATGTAATCAACCATGGTTTTGAGTTCCAGACCCAGTGACTTAAACTCATGCCAGTTCATGTGTGTGCGTGCCCCAAGATCCCGAGTAAAGAATGAAGGAGAAGGGATTGTGGTGTGCCCATCCCCCTGGGAGGTGATTTCTCGCTTTCTATCTCTCTGTCTCTCTCTGTCTTTCTGGTGAGCGCATGAGCCCTATAGCAAAAACCTCTAAAAAAAAAAAAAGGACAAAAAAATCTTTTTTACCACCTACTTACTGTTTGACTTTGGGCAAATTACATAACCTCTTTGAGCCTTCATTTTCCCATTGGCAAATGACAATATTGATAGCTTACCCCATAGGATTGTGGCGAGCACTGAAGATTATTTATGTGTGTGTATATATCTATGTCTGTGTGTATGTCCACTTCTAATTTATCTGTTCACAATGCCCAGCATGTAATAAGTCTTTGATAAATACTACTGCTGTGTGATTCTTGAATTTAACTAAATTTTTCAGGTGTTCTATTTTTTGCACTCTTCATCTGTATCCCTTGCCTCCTTTCCTGTAAAGGATGGTGGTCCATCCCATGTGGTAGGAAGAGCCCTAGTCTTGTCTCTAGAGGCACTAAGGAGGAGATAGCAATATGCCCACTGAGCATGGAGTATGTGTGAAAAGTGCCCAAAGTAATAGAGTAGATTTGGGCATGGGTTGTTACCTGAAAAGGAACGATCCCTTGTGTCTACTGAATGGAAGTGAGTACATGCTTGGGATCTCTACTGAATCACAGCAGGAGTCTTATGGGCTTAACTCTTGCTCCCTCTCTAAAGGAGGCCCTGACTGAGGCAGCTGCACACCCTGGCCGGGAAGGTTCTATGTTTCTTGCAGAGTTTCATGTACATCCCACATGTCTAGTCAGTACTATAGCTAATTAACTAAAGAGAAAGCTCTACCCTCCTCTGAAGGCCCTCAACTTGCTATGTCTAGAAGTTCTTCATCACTTATCCTCACTTACCCCTTTCTACATTTGTTTAATAATTGCATAATGGGTTTTTGTGAGATCTGAACTTGTTTAAAGACTTCAAAAAGATAAGTTAAGGTGATTTTTATTTGCCTGGTTTTTGTTTTTGCTATAGTGTGTGTGCATTCATCATAGAGAGAAAGAGAGAGAGAGAGAAAGAGGGAAAGTGAAAAATCACTGCCGGGGGGATGGTCACACTACAATCCTTTCCCTTCTCTTGCAGTCACTTTTCCTCTGTTCTCCTCTGAGGATTTTGGGCATGCATGCATATACACCCAGCATCATTTTGAAGCTTTTGGGTCAGGGACTTGGACAATGTAGTCAGCCATATGAAACCTAGTACCTTAACCTCCATGCTAGCTGCTGGCCCAGAGTTGAGGTAATTTTTGAGACTGTCTAATCTAAGAAGGAGAGAACCACAAAAGGAAATTCCTGAATGCTTATTATTTTAGCTCTAAAAATCCTCTGTATCTACATTTATCAACAGAATGTTTATAATCTTGATGATGTATTGTGTTGCCTTACCTGAGAGATGTCTGAGGTAGATTTCAGTTGTTTTCTCTACTTCAGTAATAGATATATCTAATTAAATACTTGAAAGTCCATTTAATTTTTAATTCAGAAAGTCATTCATGATTGAGGCAATTTAAACAACTCAGGGAAAAAACCTCAAACCCCAGTGAAATTTCATTAACTATGTGGATACTTTAATGGTACATTTAACTAATGCTGAATTATGATGATTGTCTTTAGAGGTGCCTATGCAGTCTATCAATTCCCTTTTGGGGATCTAAGCTTTTAGCTTTTAACGATCAGTTCAGTTGATTAGATGGATACACTTTCGTTATCGAGGTTACCTTTTATAGTTCACTCCTCAGAGAAAGAACATTTGCTTCAGCCTTCCTTTGAAATCCACTGGTACCATAGGGTTTATGCAAGGGTGGCTACTCAGAAGTGCCCTGGGAGTTTATGTGTTTGCCACCTTCATGTCACATGACAGAGGACACAGACACAGCCCTGGGCTGGGAGGGAACCACAGTTGGGAGCTTCATCTTGTGTTTTTCTATAATCAGGGCCATCTGTCAATCAACCACATGCTGAGCCAGTGATCTCAGCTTGGATTTCTCCATGAAGGTCCTCTTCCACGTCAATGGAGGTAGATTCGCAGGACTGGATGAACATGGAGGCTCGTTTAGTTCATTGCCATCACTTCACTAATGAGGGAGCAGCCCCAGAGAAGGCAGATGGTTTCCCCAATGTTACAGATGGCTGGGAGAAATGGCAGGATTGGAATATAGGTAGAAGTGGACATACACACAGACATAGATATATACACACCTTATTACTGCCACGTTCTGAAGCACCAGAGATAATGCAAATGTGGACTAGCCCTTTTAATTTGATTTTTATGTTCTAGGAGTGGAATTGGAAGTAGATAGACTGGAAAAGCAGAGAAATCACTAAAAGGAAAACTCTATCCTCAAGGATCTCTCTTATAAACGTAATGGAGAAGTGAAACAAATGCACTTCATACAATTAGGAGAATGTTATGAAACAATATGTAATTAAGTACCAAATTGTGTGGCACAGAGAAGGCGGAAAGCTTTATGTATTTCAAGAGCCTGGAAGTCTTTTTGAAGGAATTTGGACACATGAAGTGACTTTGAATCTTGACAGCATGTGGATGATTGAAGACATGGAGGTCTCTTCTGTGTGTAAGAAAAATCTGGAACACCTGATTGACTCTGGACTCATGCAGCCTTGAGAAAATTACCAAAGCTCTTCAAACCTCAACTTCCTTATTTATAAAATGGGAATAAAACAACATCATTGGGAAAGGATTTGCCTAAAAGAAAATACTCCATCACAAACAGAGGAGTGAAACTGAATTCCTTGCCTAAGGAGTATAGAGGATGGGGAGATGATGATCACGTGTTTTTTCTAGGATTTACTTTACTTTAACCATAGGACTAGGCCTTGTAGCCAAACACCCTTATCTGCTAAGCAAGGAGCACCAAGTGACAAGTTACTGTAGGCTTCTTATGCAAGGAAATTTAGTCTACATCTGTGCCCTTGTTTATATTATATATAAAATTATAAAATGTTGGTGTGCCTTTGCTCTACTGAGACTTACCCAGAGGGTGGGGTGAGTGAATCTGCATGATATCATCGATGCATCAAATGGAAGGAGCTCAAATATATCTTGGAAACTTTTAGGACTCATGGAGCTATAATATGACCAAAATGCATAAGTAAATGCATCCAGTAGAATTACTGGATGAGACCTCCAAGGGAAA